GACATCCAGCTCTAGGACTAAAATTTAAGCACTCAGAAAGAGTAGCCAAATCTAGTATTTAGGACAATGTCAGTAAATAGCTGGAGATTATTTTTCAAAGCTGAATCAGAATCAAGTTTTGGGTCAGTAGGCTTAATTTTGTCTGAGATTGTGACTCAGGCCCACCCTTTTGAGTTCTATAGTCAGGCTTGGAAATTTGTGAATTTGTTCAGTAGTGTCCCTCCCCATGCAAAGCAATTGAAAATGCTCACCACAGTGTGTCACCACAGCTAATGCTGCACCACAACTTGAGCATTTCTCTACAAGTCAGATCCAGTAATTTTTCTTTTGGCCATTGATTTTTTACAGCACCTGCAGTTTTTTGGTTTTGCTCCAAAGATCATCATCTTACTTTGAAGTCTCCTGACTGGGTTATGTCTAACCCGATCCTGTGGAGGCAAGGGATTGAATAATTACTTTATCAGTGCCATATTAAAAGCAGTCCAAAGACTATTTATGCTGCTCATTAAAGTCATTGGGAATTTGGCTGGGCCAGAGCTCCCTGCTTTGGTCATGCAATAGGGAGAGGAAAGCGTTCCAAAAATTGTTATTTTGCAATTACTTGTGCTGTGGTGCCACAAGAGGATTTGATTATCACCCTTCTATGTTTAAAACTTAGATACCACAAAGCAGTGTGATCAGTACCCCCAATGTTTGTCCTCCAAAGCATTGATTAACTGCCAATTTTCTATGGAAATAAGCAGAAAGTAGCAGTGAAAAAAAAAAAAGAAGAAAAAATTAGAAAAAGCAGGACAGATAATAAAAATTTTGATTTAAAAGTCAAAATTCTTAGAGTTGAAGTTAAAATTGTGTTCAAATTAGAGGTATTGTTAGGATAAAGTTTTCAAAGTTCTGAATTATACTCCTTACTGCCTCTTGTAGTACCAAGGAGTAAAATTTTGGGGCCTCTAAAGTCATCAGGTTTTCAATACTGGATGAGGACACCAATTTTAATTTTCATTTTTTGTACACTGACAAATTTGATCCTACTGCAAAATACCAAAACAGAGCAAATGTCCTGACTGCAGACTGCACTGCTGCAAACACAGGAACAGGAAAATTCATGCACACTGACACTTGGAGCAAGAAATCCACTGGGCTGGGTGTGCTGCTATGTCAGACAGGAGGAGAAGACACTCAAAGACTAAACCTTTTCGCACTGGATTGTTAGCATCAAAATAGAGAGAAATTCTCCATTTCTGTGCCTCTTTCTTCCTTGGATAGGAAGAGTTTTATGTTTATCTTTAAGACAAGGCATTCTGAATTTGTGCCAAACTGATGTATGATATCAAGCTTCATTTTAAACACATCTAGAAAACAGACTGGAAATGAGTTGTTTGCACGTTGTTCTCTGTGACTGTGCTTGGAATGGAGGTGGTTCTCCTTTAAATAACCTCTCAGGAGCTCAGAGATCTGGGCAGTTGTGCATCAATTAGCAGGATGCATTGCTGAGTGTGAGCTGCCAGGAAATGCAAGGGGACAAATCAGAGAGTTGAGGTTTCCACCATCATTTTGCCTTCCTGCCTCTAACTACAAATCAGCTTCACTGTGACTCACGGCGTAAGAAGTTGGTGCATTTCTGCAGATCCATGATAAGATATTTTTCTTTACTAAGAAATGCAGTTAGACTCTGCATTCTGAATCTGTTCCTGCCAGGCCCTAGATGCATTAGTATTCCACTGGCAGCTGCCTGTAGGTAGGAATATTGTTTTTGTCCATAACCAGAGGGAACAATCAGACTAAGCCGTTCCCCAGCTATAAACCAGCCAAAGTAATTGGGTTTAATTTTAATTTTTGTAATAGCTTTAAATTAATAGGAGCAGCTGCTGCCACAGTGTGTGGGTGTCCTTTTCCAGAAGGCATAGAACAAAAAAGGGAAAGAGTAAACAATAGTGTGTCTAGGACACAAAGGTTAATTCAAGAACTGAGCAATGTCTTTTCGTTATCAAAAACTCAGTTGGTGATATCTAGCACTTTGTCTCTTTTCTTTCCTTTTCTTTCCCTTTTTTCTTTTCTTCTTTAATTCCCTGATAAGATCTCAATCTGATTAAGCTCCTGTGTGTAAAGATGTGTTGTTGGTATCTAAATGCTAACTCTCTTTCTCTGTATGACTCACAAATAGATTAGCAGTGACAAAGTGCTAGGAGAGATAAAAATAGATTAGCAGTGACAGGAGTACTATTATAATTATTTTTGGAAGATATGGCTTGAATTAAGAGTTTGGGCACTTTTTGCCCTGAGAGGGTGAATTTAAACCTAGGAACTGAGGATGGTTTCTGCTGTTGTGTCAGACACCAGATAGTGAAATGTCAATACCAGATGTCCTAGACATCAAGATTAGCCATAATAGCCAAATGCAGCCATAAAGTGATGTGTCAAAGTGGATAATAAAACAGATGCTTAGCTTTTATAATGAAGGGGAAAGGGAACGAAATATCAAAAGTGCCTTTAATACATTAACAAAGTTGTCTTCAACTTGCTTAAAAGTAGAAAGTTATTGAACCAAGGAGAACTATGTGTCATTTAAACATTATCTATCAGCAGATGAATTTCAATTAGCATTAGCCTTTCTAAAATCCTGAATTTCCTCCTATTGGTCTCATTTTACATGAAATTTTTATAGCACAAAGTAAGGCTTGTCCTTTATTATTTTCCCCATGCTAATTTGGAAACAAATAAAGTTCAACAACTCAGCGACACACTGTTTAAACTTGCATTACGGTTTGAGGACTGGGAGCTGGAATACATTTACCCACTGCCATATCATCTGCTTGATTTGAGATCAAATGAGGGATGTCCTATAGCACTCCAGAGTAAGGGCAAATGATAGAAATATGTTAAGATACTGAAGAAAACCATTAGGTAAGAGGGCTGCATGCAGATGGCTGGTGGCATTTTTTCCCTACTGATACTTTTTTAAAAGAATAAAAGGTTTGTTTTCCCGTCTTTTATATTTGTGCGTTAAATAGAATTTCCAGATCTTAATGGTAAGCAAATGTCTCATTTAACAAAAAAATCTTTAAACCATAGATTTAACTAGGTTGGAAAAGTCCTTTAATATCATTGAGTCCACCTTTTATCCTGGCACTGCCAATGCTGCCCCTAAAACACATCCCCAGGTGCCACATCTACACATCCTTTAAATACCTCCAGGAATGGTGACTCCACACCACATGTCCTGAAAGCCTCTTCCAATGCTTGACAACCCTTCCATTGAAGAAATATTTCCTAATATCCAATCTAAATTCGAGGTGTGGCCTCACAGTGCCCAGTACAGATGGACAGTCACTGCCCTGGCCCTGCTGCCACACCATTGCTGGTACAGGCCAGGTGCCACTGGGCACAGTGCCCAGCTGGGCACAGCTGGCTCGTGTTCAGTCATGATGGTGAAGTAAGTTATTGGGGTCCTGAATGTTCAAGAAGGAGGGCATTCAAAAGGGCGGATAAATTCTTTTTCTGAGTGTCATTAACTGCATCACTGGTTATTTTGCTTTCTCAAGAAGGTCTCAATTCATTTCTGTTTCTCTTTGTAGATCCTTGCTGGTCAGACTCACTAACTGCTGCTAATTGACAGACACGTACCTGTGTATAATGAGAGGGTTTTGTCCTATAATTTATATTAGCAATGAGAGGCCAAAACTGAGGCTCTGCAGCAGACCAGCTTCTCGGAATGATTACAAAGACACACATTACTGGTGCTATGTCTGTAAATCTTGTTATGCTTTTCCCTCACCATGATCCCAGTTTAGCTGAGATCTGCTTCAATCATTAGATGAGACCTGTTTTTAAGGTTGTGTAATTGAATCAGGTAAATTCTGCAGGACCACGTCATTTTGTTGCCAAACATGACTGGTAAGTTACTTGCATCAAATTACAAGTGCATGGCATGATTGGAGGCTATTCCTGTCTGAATAAAGCTAGAAATTCCACCTAAGAAATTAATAAAGCATATGAACAGAAATAGTGAACACCTCTCATCCATAGAATGAGTTTTTGCCTCACCTCTGAAACATTACTTATTTTTCTTGAAAGGTAAAAAAAATAATTGGAGTTGTGTGAGAGATTGCAGGCAGATATTTGTTACTCCTCAAAGAGATACCACCTTGATAACAATGACATAAATGTCTTTATGATAATTATTTACCATCATGTGTATTCATTTCTATCCTGTCAGATAAACCAGAAATGTTGAGGAGAGCAGCAGTCCAATTCGGAATGGGAACAAACACTCTTTTCTCCTTTATTTTCTATTTTAAGGCCTGGTTATTTTCTATACCTGAAGTTTTATCTGTATGATTTTTAGATTGTTTGTTTGTTTTTTAACCTCAAGAACTTATCTTTTGTTCCATTATTTGGCTAGATGCTGATATGTATCCTGACTATTAGGGAGATAAATATATATATATATATATATATATGTAAAGATGTTCTGAATTTTAGTAATATTTTGTCAGTGTTGACTTATGCTGACATTCCTTCATTAGCTGTGCCTCCTCTGTGTGCTGGGGAATTGACCCTGTAAGAAAGGGTGTAGGTTTGGCTGGAGCCTGTTTTTGAGTTAAGAGTGGTGTGAAGTGGCAGCAGCCTGACAGTGAAGAGGAGGGTGCTTGGGCAGCCTGTGCATCCTTTTCACTTGGTGGGAATGGGTTTCCCTGGTTGTACAATGCTCTCCCTGCTGTGGTGACTCTGGCACCCTGGGCACCCGGGCAGAGCTGCAGTCCCTGTGGTGACAGTGGCACGGGAGCTGTCACAGACCTGGCTCTGGGATCTCCTCACCAGCTCCTGAGCTCTTCAAGCTGCTCCACTTCCTTTACTTTGGAGGGAATCTGAATCTCACACAGATCAGATCTCTCATATCCATGTTGATATGCATCAATTAATGCATATTGAGATTCCTATGGTGGCATGAATCTTGGAGGAAAAAATTAACTTACAGACGTTTGTTTGTTTTTGTTTTTCAGGCAAAGAATCCCCTCCAAAAATGTGTATTACTACCGCTGCCCAGACCACAGGAAAAACTATGTCATGTCCTTTGCTTTTTGCTTTGACCGAGAGGACGACACTTACCAGTTTGCCTACTGCTACCCCTACACCTACACTCGCCTCCAGCACTACCTGGACAACCTCCAGAGGAGGAACATGGACTACTTCTGCAGGGAACTGCTGGGGCTCAGCGTGGTAAGTACCAACAGGCTTCATTATGGATGTCTATCCACCCTTCAGTGCTTCCAGACTATCATTCATCATCCTTGCTAAAGCACCCACATACACATATTTGTTTTCTTGCTATCAATGACACAGGAGGAAGTGTACCTGCATGGTGAAATATTGGCAAATGCTAATTTAATTTCACATAAAATATTTCCTTTGCGATAGTCAAGGCAATGCTGGATTCCTGTGTAGGATTAGTTCACCTCTAAAGTCATTAAAAGATGAAACTGAAACAGCTTTATTGAGTAAATGTGATTTTTAGAGTACTCTGACCATTTGTCTTTTTGGAAGTGCTTTTCTGTTCAGAAAGAAATATGGGTTTTTTGACCTAGAAGATAACTTTTCTTGGTAAAATAATGCAAAACATGCACAAAACAGCTCTTTTCTCTTAAAAATTTGTGCTTTCGTCATTTGCAATTAGAAGGGATTTAGTGGTCTCTGTGTAGATCCTAATGGCCACATAAAATGAAGTGTCATAGTTCTTCTGGAGCAGGAAAGAGAGTTAATGGTAAGGCTGAAGTTCTGTTCACTTTGCTGTAATCTTCCTTTGAAATGTTCCCTGTCCAGGGGATTTGGAAAGCATGACTCAGCCACTCCCATGTCAACTCAGAAATCATCAGATTAAAAAATAATAGCTCAAATCTCTTTTCTCTTATTTTTTTTTTAACTTTAACTTTCTCAGACTTTATAATGCACTTGTACCACACTTAATCGTTTCTCTGATATTTGATTTGGTCTAAACTTCCAGTGTGTGTTTCAGAATCAGAAAGCTGTGAAGGCTGCTGATCCCAGAAGCAGGGGCTTTGAAAAGAAACCCAGAATATATTGTGAACATCGAAATTAAATCATATGTATACCCTGCACTGAAACAAATGAAAGTCTTCCACCATTAAAGCATACCATTGAGATTCCTATGGTGGCATAAAGCTTGGAGGAAAAAATTAACTTACAGACAAAAGTAAAAACAGAATTAACAAAAGAAGTAGTTTTGTAACCCTTTTTGTAGGTTAAGTACAGTTCTTGTTCTAAAGATGACTATTGCATATCCATGAACTGGCATTAATTATTAATCATTCCAATTAGGGGGACAAACAATTATAAGGGAAAGGGGTATTAAAAAATAGAAAAGTAAAATCTGCAGAGGCTGGGCAGAAAAAGCACTATCATCTTAATGTGTGTAGGGCTTTAATTATTAATCTTAGAGGACAGAGCTGTCATTAATTCTATAATGAAGCTGATTTTGTTTCCTTTCACTCTGAAACTAGTGTATAAACAGTCTCATTTGCATATTCATCAAACCTCTGATCTGACTGATTAAAACACAGAGATTGAAGGATTTGTCTTTTATCTGCATTTTGACAGACAGAGCTATACTCTTAAATCTTGTTAACATTGTGTTACCAGTAGTTGCTAAATATTATTTTTCATATTTCAGCACACTAAACAAACAGATGCCACTCAAAATGTGGCAGGAAATGTGCTGTGTATAAGTCCTGCTTTTATATCTATATGTACACACACAGTATGTTTTGCAGAAATTGATATGGTAACATTTTGCAGCTCACCAAGCTGTATAAAAAAGCTTCTGAATCAGGCTCATGCTGTAATCTTTGTGAGCAACATTACAATCTCAGAGCATTTCTGGCTTTTCTCCACACACAACTGTCCTAGAACAGCTTGGTAATTTAAAGTCTTTGCTGAGCTTGAATAGACAATTTCCATAAGTTCTCTGCGAGTTAAATATTTTAACATAGAGCTTTGTTGCTATCATACATCTTTAAATGGTGAAAAACAGGATCCTTCATTCTTCACTGCACAGTGCTCCATAAAAGCAGAAGCTGGCTGTACTTTGGAGAATTGCGTGCCATATAGGATAGATTTAGAGCTGAGAAAGAGAGCTCTGTCCCTGGCCTGGCCCCTTATGTAAGATAAGAGGAATCAGATTGGCATAAAGAGGCTCTCAGAAGCTCTATTCCTGGCCGAGGGACGATACCCCTGGCAGCACATGGTGAAAGGTATTTTAAAGATGCCGTCTGAGGACAAACTCTGGAGTCCTCATGCTGGGCTGAGGAGGGAGAACATGGAAGGGAAAGGCTGCAGCACATCTGTCCAGCTGCCACGCAGCTGCTGGTCCCCTCGGGGTCATTCCAGGGGAATTTCACAGCCCCCTCCTGCAGTCTGTGACTGGGAGGATGGGGAAGTGTTTGAAACAATTTCACTTCTGCTGGATTACGTGGTTTTGAGCTGTGTCTCTTGGAGATGGCAGAATCTCACCACAGATCTTTGGAGCTGTTTTGTTTTTTTTTTTAATTTTGTTGTGGAAAAGTAAAACTCCAGTCACAAGAAGCCATGCCTAGAGGATTACTCCTGGAGGCTTTCTGAGTGCACATTTTGCTGCATATAATGTTTTCAAGGCAATCTAATTTCTAATCTAATTTCACATCTTCTCTAAAGAAAGTGCTCTGCCTCCGTTAACTCCTGAAATACTATCAGTAATTCTATGAAAATTGAAAGTGAAATATTGGTATGGGATATGTAATTGTCATTAGGATGGAGAATGACAAAATGGTTCAGAGCCAAATGGCAAAGTTTCCCATTCTCATTTAAATGGATAACTTAGCTGTACTATTTCTGACCTTTTAATGCTTATATTCTTTACTTCAGAGAGCTATCCCACATTCTAGATGTGCCAAATGTTCTTGAAAATAGTCTCTCCTGCAAGTGAGCTGAGATGGTCACCCAGGTACCATTTTAACTACTATTTTCATTCTGCTGTTATTGGCCTTGGATAACTTCAGATTTTCTTTGGTTTGCCCCAACAGATCAGAAGTTCAAAATCTGTGAGCACTTTTTCAAATTGTGGAATTAATTTTTTGCATATTATTGATGTGAATCTCCTCTCAGCAAATACTATGCAATATTTCACAGCACAACTATTAAATAATAATTTAATTATAACTAGTTAATAAGTTATAAATTAGTTAATTTATAACTCTTATAATAATAATTTAAAACTATTTTTATATTTCTGTGAAAATATAAGCACAGGCACATTTTACATTACAGTACCTATTTTATGATACTTATTCAGTCTCACATACAATAGCTATGTGTGTAGCATTATAGCCAATTCTTAAGAGTTGGCAAAATTTTGGAGTGTGTTGTCATTTGAAGCTGGTAGTTCAAATTGTGTGTGATTGAAGTGTGTGGACAATTGATGAGACCTGTACCTCCACCAGTATTCCATGGACATGCATAATAAATTAAATGAGCTTTGGAAAGCCTGGCTCAACTCCTACAGCCCACTTTACAAATTGACACTGGCTGGGCATTATTTTCATTACTCACTCCAAAGAGAACCAGGATTAATCAGAGCCAGATACTTCCTTTCACTCCATTAGGCAATGGTGCTTCCAAATTACACTCGAGGAGAATTGTGACTGCACATACAAACCACGAGCCTCAAAGGGACTTGCAGAGTACACAGAGACTGGAATATGGAATTCTGTTAAATTAAATATTAAACACACATATTTTAAAACAAGAAGGCAATATGTCTAATGTAGGGCTCTGTAAATGAGCCTATCTCCTAAGTCAGATATGGAACACTGAAAGACACAGACTGCAACACAGAGTGCTTCCTCCTGCCTCCACACCACTTTGGGGTGTGCTTTTAATTTACATGAGTTACTCCTGATTCATGCTGGTACAGAGAGAAGCAGAATGATGCCCTAAGCCTGTGAAACTGCACACCAGATGTCACATCGCCGCTTCGCTGACCAAATTTCCTTTATTTACTGACTAAATGACTTCGTACCCCAGTAAAAATACTTGATCGGTTCTACCACTTTCTACTGGTCCATTTTTAACTGCTCAGTTATGAACGTTTTAAAGCATGAAGCAAAGAAAATAGGCAGTTTTTCTAAGGTTAAAATTCCCATTTCTGCATTCAACTCTGGGTTATGTAATAACAGCTCTGTAAAAGAAAAGTATACTCTTGGTCTTTGGAAAAAAATTGAAGTTACAGGCTTCTGTGTAATGCAATGTACCTCTGAAATCCTGTTGGTGTCAGATACTGTATTTTCCAATGGATTTGACTGTAACTAGGTTGAAATGTCATGTAAATGTAATTTGTGGCAATTTACTTGGCCTGAAAAAGGCCACAGAAATAGTGCTTAGGAAAAGTAAATCCCCTTTCTCATTTCTCAGTAGTTTAAAAGTGCAGCTATGTATATGTTCAGGACACATTATCTTTATGCAGTGGTGTATTTTTTACTCCTATAGTGCTGCTGTTCCCAAAACATTCGTAATGTGGATGTCATCCTAACACTGTATGTGAGATTTTAAATGTTCCTACAGCTATTTTCTTAGCTGGATTGGATACCAGCAGAAGTAGAGTTAGACCTAAAAATAACACCACCAGCAGTTCTTTCCAAAATAAAATATGATTTATAGCATATAATAGCACAGTGTGCTACCAGGGAAATTATATAAATAACGTGAAAAATTACAGGGGACTATTCTATATCATCAGTTTTAAGGAAAATTTCTTTGTTACAATTTAAAGGGAGTTCTGGGAGATAACCTGGCCTGTGGGACCAGAGTAGGAAGGACAGGTGAAGTGATACTACTGAATTTTGCCATCTGTCTGTAGGATATATACAAGAGTTCATGGTAAAACCAAGAAATAGTTTGGTGTCAGTTGGCAACAATATATAGTTTTTGAAAAAAACAAACAATAAAATCATCATTTGCAGTTAATATCATGCAAGGTTACTAAATGCATAAGCTGGACATTTCTTAAATTACAGAAAGAACACCGTTAGATGAAGTAAAATAATTTCTAGAAAGGTTTGCATTAACCACTCTTTAATTATGAGTAAAAATATTAAATTGTGAAGAAGGATTCAAATCGTAAGTCCTCTTTGCAGCTGATGTTTTATAACTACCATTCTCCATTAAAAAAC